TTTTCCCTTAATTAACAAAAACTTTTAAATACATTTATAAAAAAAAAAAGATTAATAAACTAAGTTCAAGTAGGTACTGGTAATACCATTAGAGAAACATAACTCTTTTTTCACAACACACTGAACACAGCCTGACTAAACAAAATTATCATTTACATATACTGTGGCTTCATTAATATTCGTTGGGCACCAATTTTTTAGGATTTCGTTGTTGAGCAGATCCAGGAATTTAAATGTTCATTGAATTGAGAATTGTTATTCATTTGTATAGACAATGCTTTCGTCCACAAATTTACGTATCCTCGAAAACATATGTTTCACAAAATCCATGAAGATTGATTTATTGCAAACAAAAATTAATAAAACCACAGTATGTGAATATTCATTTTTTCAAACATTGAGAATAAAAATTACCAGAATAGTTTTCTTGGTTCTCAGTTATTATTTCACACTCTATTTCTGACAAAGAAGGCATATTCAATTCATCTCCATCCTGACATTCTTTTTCACCATGTTCACTGACAAAACTATCTCATTCTTTCTTTCGTTTGTAATGCTTGGTACTGCGTGGAACTACAGCATCAGGATTATCAATATATTTCTTCTTAATTCTTTTTTGTGGGCCTGAAATTTTGAAACATATAAATGTTATTCTAATAAAAATATCTCAAATACAACATGTACAAAAGTCATGCACAAACTTAATGCATAAATAATATATAAATATGAATTATTAAAGTTTCTTTTATTCTGTTTTTTTAGTAATACAAGGACCTATATGATAAAAAATAAGTTAATGTCTATCATTTATTAAACATGTCAGTGTCATTTTTTTAAAGCTATTAACATAAATAAGGGGATAAACAGTGAATTTTAGTGGCTCTGAAATAATTCAATTGACAAGAAAAAGGTTTCTTGGAGCATAAGATTTCATTGTAAAGTAGGTTTATAATAGACACATTGACAAAATATGAGCTTTTATTTGTGGGACTGAGGGACACTTGACCTGGGGTTTCATCCCCCAGATTAGACTCTGAGAGAGTCGATTGTATTATGTGTTGTATGTATATTTTTCATTTTTTAAACTGATGGGCTGTATTGCCCAAAGTTGTATCCTGAATAAACTTATTACCTATTAAAAAAAATTCAGGGTGTCTAAAAACTATTTAGGTACTTTGTATCCGACTATCCAATTAACAACAGGTTAGGATGCTTAACATTTAAAAGCAGTGCACTCTGTCTCCTCTTTTTTTTAACATAATAATAGTACTTTGTTTTCAATGAATTATAAAATAATGTTTGGTACTTTATCAATGCGTATCTAACAGCTGTCTACATCTCTGAACAGAATAAATCATAGAAAGAACGTTCTATCGTTAAAATGATACGGGACTGGTTTAATGTAAGACTAGGCCTAAATCATAAAACCATACACTGTATATATATATATTTGTATACTGTATAGACTAAAATAAACTTACTCATATTGTGAGCAGAATGCTGGTGGTACAGTGCCGATCTCTTTGTTGTAAAGTGGCGCTTGCATATGGTGCACTCCATTATTTTCTTTCCATTGCATTCTATTTCAATTAAATTGTTTTGTTTCAAGTCGTTTCCCAAGTCCGCCATGTTTCTACAGTGGGTAACATCGTAATTCGTAACTATGACATTTCACACCCCAATCTAATAGAATCTCCCGTTTTTTATTATTTTGAGTAAGTGCGAACAATACGCCAAAATTTTAATACCAATTTTACAGAAACAATTTACTTTAAATGAAAAAATGTTGAGGTGTTTTAAGCTCAATGTCGATAATTCTTAGGCGGCCGATTAATTCAGGAACGATTTGCATAGCAACTTCAATGCAATACTAAAGTCTGCTTTTGATTGGTTGATACGAGGATCGATTTTATAACATCAAATCCGATTAGTCAAAAAGTAAAAAGGGCGCAAATTTTACAAGAAGAGAACATCATGGAGACGAAACATTACGCGCTAATAGAATGGGAGGAATTATATGAGTATTATTGATGTTGTGACGATTATTTCTCCACGGAAAGAAGTCCATAGATATGAAGAGGGGGAAAAAATCCAAGCAAAATTTCGAGGGACAGTTTACAAAGCTGTTATAAGCAATATAAGTGGTAAGTTGATTTGACTTTTTGAGCAAGCAAAAAAAGACCAATCACCTCTATTTTAGGCACGGCATAGTAACATTATTTTTATAATAAATTTTTATTTATATATATATTTATGTTAATATTATAAACATTAGTTTATGCAGAAAAAAACACTTATTATTTGAAGGATGTAAGGTGCATCCCTGATAGGTGTTTAACATTTTTAAATAGCAAAAAAAAAAAAAAAGGCCAAAAAAAAATAGTTTTTGTCCTTTGGTCACCATTATTATTCTTTTAAGTCTGAAGTCTAGAGTTTAAACTAATCTCTCAGACTTTCCTGTGTGATTCAACAATTCCTTACTTAAATTCATGCATGTAATTTAATTGAATCATTGGTGCATTTTTTAGAAGACAGAAAATACTTGGAAGATCTGAGAAAAAATGACACATTAAAACATAGATTCTGTACAAGTGAAGATAGAGAAGAAGGTATGTTTATGGAAGACAGTCCTTAATGTATTACTTTTCAAACAACTCTTCAGGCAGGTGAATCTGAAAGTTAATGTGTATCCCTGACTCTGTATGTTGACTTCTGTGGATTAGATGATAGCCCTCACGCCCCTCAGTGTGAATCCAGATATTATGATTTTACAAATTCATAAATTTTACAAAGTATCACATGAAATACATACCGTTTGTCTATAATTTCATACAGATCCCTATAATTTCATACAGATCCCCAAATTTATGGAAATCTAATTAGTACAAACTTGTGGATTACTGCTTTAATTAAGCTTCATCAAATACAATTACCAAAATTCTGTACTGAATGCAATCTAGGCCTAGAAAAAAGATATGTTTGTTTCCGCTTTCCCCACCGATCCTAATTTATAGTGCCGACCCTAAATTTTTTTTTAATACTTTAGTCCCATGACAGCCATGTGGTGCAAGATTTCACCCAGGGAATCATAGTCTCCAATTTTGCAAGACAGAAAGAAGTTTGAGTCACAGAAATGCTTGAAAACACCATTTCTTTTGTCATTAATGTTACTTCTATACACATTATTGATTAAAGAAGTAAAAAAAAAAAAAAAAAAAAAAGATTTGCCTACCTACCTACCGGTATAGAAATTAGGTCATGGTTTTCAATTTGTGTATCATTGGGTCTTTTTCCTCTGTAACTGAAATCCGAGATAATTTCCAATTCTCTTAAGTTAACATTTGATTGGATAATTCAAAGGTCACCAGGAGATGACCCCGAATGGGGTTTCTTCAGATCCTTGTGTAGCGATCTATGTGAGCGGATCAAAGGATCTGATTTTAATCAGATTGGCGCATGCTCTGTAACTAATTTTGTTTTGTTTTTGTTTTTTTTTAATCTTTTATGCCCCTCTTAAGAGAATGGGAGCATATCACTTTGCTGCTGTCAGTTTACCACCATTTCCATTCATTTCCTTTGGAGAGGTTGCATACATTGAAATTAATTTTTGGTATACTTAGAGAGTCATCTAATGAATATCGAGGTCAAGGTCTACTTTGGGTATGGTTGAAGCACAATGCTGTCCCTTGGACTTATAAAAATTTCCAATTCATAAAGGGAGGGAGATCTAAGTGTTTTACAAACATCTCTTGTTTATTTTCTTCATACTTAAGTTGAAATGTTGCTGCAGCAATAGAAATAAATTAAAACATATTCACTGAAAATAGATAAATGTATGTAATAACGAACCCATTTAAATTAAATTATTTAAATATTAATAACAATTATTATATTATCCAGTTCTTATGTACAAATTAATTTTTTCTTATAGCGTCAGCACCAACTCATAAAAATGTTAGGATTACACCTAAAAAGGTACCTAAGCCATCCCCTCCCTCATCAACACCAAAAAAAGGTAAATAATAATTCTCTTATATTGCATCTTAAATTCAAGCAAAATTTCATGTTTTCATGCAGAATGATCATGCGCACCATGTTAATTCATTCAGATTATTTTTTTCTTATAGCGTCAGCACCAACTTTTCCTCAAAATGTAAGAGTTTCACCTAAAAAGAGAGATAAGATACCCCCTCCCTCATCAACATCAAAAAAAGGTAAATAAATATTTTTCTCTAATATTACACATATTCAAACAAAAATTCATGTTTTTAGCTGTTAAGCTTTTGACAACTAATACCTAAAGGTACTGCATCCGATCTCCCCATCATATTGAATTATACTTATATTGAGTTCTTTATCACATTCAAGTTGCATGCAGATATAATATTTTAAATCATATTTTCCTTCATAGTGCCGACTTCAACTTCTCATCAAAATAAGAGGACTGTAACACCAAAAAAGATACAGAATCCATCCTCGTCCTCATCAACACCAAACAAAGGTTAAAATAATAAGTTCTCTAATATTACATCGCATTCAAACAAATATTCATGTGTTTAGCTGTTAAGCTTTTGACAACAAAACCTAAAGCTACTTTATCTGATTTCACCATCATATAGTATCTATTTATAATAGTTCACCATTTACCTAGGTCTTATATTAATTTTTTTTTTCTTCATTTTAGCGCTGACACCAACTTCTCATCAAAATAAGAGGACTGTAACACCAAAAAAGATACAGAAGCCATCCTCGTCCTCATCAACACCAAACAAATGTAAATAATAAGTTCTCTAATATTACACCGCATTCAAACAAATATTCATGTTTTTAGCTGTTAAGCTTTTGACAACAAATACCTAAAGCTACTTTATCTGATTTCACCATATTTTATCTGAATATATTAGTCCTTAATTATATTCAAGTTGCATGCAGAAGGATCACCATTTATCCAGGTCTTATATTTAAATTATTTTTTCCTTCATAGTGCCGACACCAACTTCTCATCAAAATAAGAGGACTGTAACACCAAAAAAGATACAGAAGCCATCTTCGTCCTCAGCAGCACCAAACAAAGGTTAAAATAATAAGTTCTCTAATATTACACCGCATTCAAACAAAAATTCATGTTTTTAGCTGTTGAGCTTTTGACAACAAAACCTAAAGCTACTTTATCTGATCTCCCCATCATACCGTATAGCGGGTTATTTTAGCGAGGTGCTAATTTTGGCTTATTTTGGCGTTTTGATGGTATCCCGCTAAAATTTTAATTGCTAAATAATCAGTACTCTTCTTCATGTTTATATGCAAAGAGCAGAAGCCCTGTTGCAACTAAAATAAATTAAGCCAAAATTATTGGCATACCTTTGAGCATGCAAACCTCCAAATATTACACCTGCCAAGAAAATCCGCTATATGGTATAGTATTACATTTATATTTAGTTCTTTATCACATTCAAGTTGCATGCAATCACCATTTATCCAGGTCTTATATTTGAACTATTTTTTTCTTCATAGCGCTGACACCAACTTCTCATCAAAAGAAAAGGACTGTAACACCAAAAAAGATGGAGAAACCATCCTCGCCCTCATCAAAAGCAAATTCAACAACCAGTAGTAGTAGTTCAGTAACCCCACAGGGAAGTCCAAGTCGCTCGGGTCCTCAACACAATCAAGCCCTGGTGTTGTCAGTTTTGACAGTTTACTATCATCTGGTATGAAAAATGAGTGTTTTAAATTATTTTCAGTTTGTGGCTTTTTGTTTTGAATATTTTGTATTGATCAGAAAAAATCTTCGACATGAGTTCTGGAGAGTGGAATTTTAGAATATATATATGGCAATCTGAAACTTAGAATCATTTTTTTTTTTGAACATAGATGCGAATAATGACTCTGAGGATTTCACAAGTTTTCAGAGAGACATGGAACAGTCAATGAAAAAGAGCAGGTAATGTATATTTTTGAGTCTACTGGCATCCATTTACACTATAAATAACTTTAAATTCTTCTTTTGATAAATCCTCTTCTATATGTTTTGAATTTTAATTATTTCCCAACTTATGTTTTTTTTTTTTAGGGAGAAGAGGAAATTGGACAGATTATCAAACGAGGTTGAAAGCATGAAGAAAGAAGTAAAGAAATTGAAAAAAAGAGTGAAGGAATTGGAAAAAACTACTACCAGTACTAATGAAACAGATCAGTTGAGTGAACAAGATTTGACAAAAAGACAATTGAGAAATAACATACAAGGTATGTTCAACGCCTCTCAAGCGGTAAGTTTTCTGTTGAAGCACCTATTTACAGCCGATGAAATAAAGAATTCATCCTTGTCTGGGAAGAAAACCGTGAAGTGTGGGGAGGGAGGTCCTAGACCTCCACTCGATCAAGACAAACTCAGAATCATGGAGGAAATCATCTACGAAAAATTTCCATCTTTTTCGAGAAAAGATCTGCGAGAAAAAGTACAAAATATTCAAAAGGTGGAAAGAAGGAGAAAAAATGCGATTGATGAGAATTAAGGACATTCAAATTTGAACAATTGTGCAAGATTTTTATTGATACATTTTCCTAGGTAAGGATAAGGGTTTAGTTGATTATTCTGAATTTGAAAGCACATGCAGGTACACTAACAAATGTACATTGTGAAAATTTAGGGCTGTAACTATACAGACTGAGATATGACTGGGTGAGCAATTCAATAATTATTTCAATTTAGAAATCATTCCAGGTATCTTTAACACCTTATATATTAATAATTTACGTTGTTATAAAGTAAATAAATATTTTACATTGTATCAGATTTCATTTTTAATAGACCTTAATTCATGAAGTTCAAGAACATTCTTGAATGTTCATGTACTTCAAATGTATTCGCTCTTTGAAATTCCCAAATACATTCATGAACAATATTCTTGAATATTCTTGAATTTGGTTTTCATGAATAAAATTCATGAAATCATGAGTGTCCAATTTTAACTTCATAGGATCTTCATGAACAATTCATGAATATAATTCATGAACTATTCTTAAAAGTTCAAGAATGTAATTCATGAACTTTTCTTAAAAGTTCATGAATTATTCATAGTAATTTCACAGGCAATTATAAAATCCAAGTTTGTTCATGAACAACCAACTATTCATGAATATTCTTGAACTTGGTTTTCATGAATAAAATCCATGAAATCATGAGTGTCCAATTTTAACTTCATGGGATCCTCATGAACAATTCATGAGCTGATTCAAGAATATAATTCTTGAACGTTTCTTCAAAGTTCAATAATTATTCTTGATCATTTCGCAGGGGCATTTATCAGAAGAGCGATTCAAGGCCCTTGGGCCTCTTGTTTTAAATCATGACCCCCGTGGGTAGGGCGGTGCCAAAATGGCCGACAATAGTTTTACATAGAAAAATATAGGAAACTTCTTTAAAAATCTTCTGCTAAAGAATGACAAAGCCATAATTCATCATATTTATATGGAAGCATCCTTAAGTAGTGCAGATTCAACTTTGTTCAAATCATATGACCCCCGTGGGTAGGGCGGGGCCAAAATGGCCGACCATAGTTTTACATAGAAATATATAGGAAAATTCTTAAAAAATCTTCTCAAGAATGACATGGCCATAATTTATCATATTTATATGGAAGTATCCTCAGGTAGTGTAGATTCAAGTTTGTTCAAATCATGACCCCTGGAGGTAGGGGGGGGGGCAAAATGACCGACCAAAGTTTTACATAGAAATATAAATTGGAAAATTCTTTAAAAATCGTCTGCTAAAGAATGACAAAGCTATAATTCATCATATTTATATGGAAGCATCCTCAGGTGGTGTAGATTCAAGTTTATTCTAATCATGACCCCTGTGAGTAGGGTGGGGCCAAAATGGCCGACAATAGTTTTACATATAAATATATAGGAAAATTCTTAAAAATTCTTCTTCTATAGAATGACAAAGCTATAATTCATCATATTTATATGAAAGCATCATCAGGTACTGTAGATTCAAGTTTGTTCAAATCATGACCCCCGTGGGTAGGGGGGGGGGCAAAATGGCCAACCATAGTTTTACATAGAAATATATAGGAAACTCCTTTAAAAATCTTCTGCTAAAGAATGACAAAGCCATAATTCATCATATTTATATTGAAGCATCCTTAAGTAGTGCAGATTCAAGTTTAACATATCATGACCCCCGGGGGTAGGTGGGGGGGGGGGCAAAAATGGCTGACCAAAGTTTTACAAAGAAATATATATGAAAATTCTTTAAAAAGGCCATAATTTATCATATTTATATGGAAGCACCCTCAGGTAGTGTAGATTCAAGTTTGTTCAAATCATGCCCCCCGGGGGTAGGGCCGGGCCAAAAGAGCCGACCAAAATTTTACATAGAATTATATTGGAAAATTTTTTTAAAATCTTCTTCTCAAGATTGACAAAGCCATAATTGCTAATATTGATACGGAAGCATCCTCAGCTAGTGTAAATTCAAGTTTGTTCAAATCATGACCCCGGGGGTAGGGCAGGGCCAAAATGGCCGACCAAAGATTTACATAGAAATATAAAGGAAACTTCTTTAAAAATCTTCTTCCTAAGAATAGCAAAGCCATAATTGATCATATTTATATGGAAGCATCCTCAGGTAGTGTAGATTCAAGTTTGTTCAAATCATGACCCCCGGGGTAGGGCGGGGCCAAAATGGCCGACCAATATTTTACATAGAAATAAATAGGAAACTTCTTCTCAAGATTGACAAAGCCATATTTCATTATATTTATACCGAAGCATCCTCAGGTAGTGTAGATTCAAATTTGTTCAAATCATGACCCCTGGGGGTAGGGCGGGGCCAAAATGGCCGACCAAAGTTTAACATAGAAATATATTAGGAAAATTCTGTAAAAATCATCTTTTCAAGAAAAGCGAATCCATGATTGGTCATGGGACTACTTTTCAATAATAAACCAATTTCTACTTTTTCCTAGCCACAGTGCTCAGGTGAGCGATGTGGCCCATGGGTCTCTTGTTTTGTATAGAACTCTTTGCCACATTATGTTTATGTTCCCAGGCTCTATAACATGGACGTGGTTCTACCGTGGATCCCCCCTTAAATTTTTTACTTTGGGGGAAGGGGCGGTTAATTCCTCTTAAAAATTTAAAATGAAAGAAAAGAATTTACATAAAATGTAGAAAAATATCTCATTCTCCTGAAGGCCGTTTCGTCAATTTTTGTTGTTCTTGTTACATAAGTTGGTTTTTCCCAATTCTTTAAATATTACAAGAATATATTGTGATAACTTTACATTGCAGTGGCATATCATATGACAGGTACGTAGCAACAATTCCCAATTTTAAGAGTAAGGTAAAAAAAGGGTTACGTAGTACATGTATATTAGGAAAAAAAATTGGCACTGAAAGAAGTTGAACCTAACCCCCCACCAACCTCCCAACACACACACACGCACACACACACGAGATTTTGGAGTTTGGGCTATATCATTTAAATTTCCTTTTTATACCCCCCGCAAACGAAGTTTGGGGGGGTATATAGGAATCACCTTGTCCGTCTGTCCGTCTGTCTGTCTGTCTGTCCGTCTGTCCGTCCGTCCGTCCGTCTGTCTGTCTGTCCGTCTGTCTGTGCAATCGTGTCCGGTCCATATCTTTCTTACAGAGGGACATTAGAATCTACTACTCCACACTAAGATTGCTCATGACCTAAGGGTGTGTCATGACCTTGACCCAAGGTCATTTGGGGAAGTTCAAGGTCACTGGAAGAAAAATTTCATAATTCGTGTCCGGTCCATATCTTTCTTATTGATAAACTTGGTAGGTTCTCATTTCACACAAAGATTGCCCATGACCCAAGGGTGTGTCATGACCTTGAACCAAGGTCATTTGAGAAAGTTCAAGGTCACTGGAAGAAAATTTTCAAAAATCCTCTTTGATACATATCTTTTATAGATAAACTTGGTAGGTTCTCATTTCGCACAAAGATTGCCCATGACCCAAGGATGTGTCATGACCTTGACCCAAGGTCAATTTGGAAAGTTCAAGGTCACGTGAAGAAAATTTTCATAATTCCTGTCCGGTCCATATCTTTCTTATGGATAAACTTGGTAGGTTTTTATTTCACACAAAGATTGGCCATGACCCAAGGGTGTGTCATGACCTTGACCCAAGGTCATTTGGGGAAGTTCATGGTCACTGGAAGAAAAATATCATAATTCGTGTCCGGTCCATATCTTTCTTATGGATAAACTTGGTAGATTCTCATTTCACACAAAGATTGCCCATGACCCAAGGGTGTGTCATGACCTTGACCCAAGGTCATTTGGGGAAGTTCATGGTCACTGGAAGAAAAATATCATAATTCGTGTCCGGTCCATATCTTTCTTATGGATAAACTTGGTAGATTCTCATTTCACACAAAGATTGCCCATGACCCAAGGGTGCGTCATGACCTTGACCCAAGGTCATTTGGGGTAGTTCAAGGTCACTGGAAGAAAAATATCATAATTCATGTCACGTCCATATCTTTCTTATGGATAAACTTGGTAGGTTCTCATTTCACTGAAAGATTGCCCATGACCCAAGGGTGTGTCATGACCTTGACCCAAGGTCATTTGGGGTAGTTCAAGGTCACTGGAAGAAAAATATCATAATTCGTGTCCGGTCCATATCTTTCTTATGGATAAACTTGGTAGGTTCTCATTTCACTGAAAGATTGCCCATGACCCAAGGGTGTGTCATGACCTTGACCCAAGATTATCTGGGGAAGTTCAAGGTCACTGGAATAAACATTTCATAATTCGTGTTTGATACATATTTTTATTATGGAAAAACTTACTTCTGAAAAACCCAGCGGGGGGTATTTTGTCCCGTTTAGACAGTTCTAGTTGTTTTTGCTCGTTAAGTTTTTAAAATCTTTTGTTCAGCTAGATTGAATTTTTTTCTTTGGTTACCCTCTCCTTTTAAAAACGATGCTTCGTCAATGTATAACAATGCAGTACTTTCAATTTCATTTTGCATTATTATACCCCCCGTTTGAACAGCGGGAGGGTATATAGTAATCGGTATTTCCGTCCGTCCGTCCGTCTGTTACGCTTTGGGGTACCCATCTCTTATCCGCAACTCCTCACATACCACTGATAGAAATTTGATGAACCTTTCACAGAATCTTTATTACATGTTGCCATTGTGCACCTCCTATTTTACTTTTTGATCTTATACAGTGTATATATTTTGGATTTTCCAGAGCAAAACATGGACACAGCCATTTTATTCATATGGGAGGGGGGGGGTATCATTTAGTGAGCTCATTGCTCACAGTACCTGTAGTTTTACCATTAGTACAATGTTA